AGCCATTCCAATCTAGTGAAAATCTATTCTATTTTTAAGAAACCAAGAGAAAGAATCCGGAATCTTCCTTATTAACCGCTTCCAGTCCCCCAACTATTGACCCTCACTGTCAGGAAATTCTCCTGGGTCTTATTTAAATGATTCTCGCTAAGGCTAAAGCACAGGTCTCTTTCTTTGCTTTCAAAATGCTCCCCTCCCTAGGCAGAATAAAAAAATGAAGAAAGTAATTTTAAAGGAATAACCACCTGGAGATGGGATTTGAGAATGTTACTTTAATGCAAAACACTCGTGACGCCCTCTTATCTGGCCACAGAAGGATCAGGAAGAGGCTGATAGACATACTTGAGGGCGGCCTCCCTCATTCTGACGCAGGCTTTTCCGACTACATTTCTAACTGGTTGAAACAATTTTGGCTGACAGAGCAAATGACAGGGTCTCCAGGTTGGATGGGAGGGTGATCTGGCTGGAAACCTGTCACACAACGACGACCAAGGTTGGAGGCTTGGCTTTGTCTCTTGAAAGCCCACATCATCGTTCCGGCTGTCCTTAAGTGGAATTTAAGGACTTACGGAGTCACACGGTAATGCTGTGGGGGCTGCTGGCCGTGGATTTCAAGATGCACCTTTCAAACATTAAATCCTAGCGTGTGCACTCCGGACCTTTGCCCTTTCGCCTGTACGGGTACTGAGGGATTTACTCAGGGCAATCAGGGATTTGGCAGCACAGATTCTGCTCAGTAATCCCAAAAGGGCTTTATTTTTTTTATTCATTTATTTTTAACGTTTTATTTATTTTTGAGACAGAGACAAAGCATGAACGGGGGAGGGGCAGAGAGAGAGGGAGACACAGAATCTGAAGCAGGCTCCAGGCTCCGAGCCATCAGCACAGAGCCCGACGTGGGGCTGGAACTCACAGACTGTGAGATCATGACCTGAGCCGAAGTCGGACGCTCAACCGACTGAGCCACCCAGGCGCCCCCCAAAAGGGCTTTAGAAAAAGCATTAAATGTTGGGATTATGGCCATTTTGTTATAACCCAAAGAAGGGAAATGCTATCGTCACAGGGGCCAGGTCCATACCGCTGCAGGAAATGACCTGTGAGGGTGCCCGGTTATCAGAATCCTTCTGGTCGGAGGCAGGTCTTGTTTGTTGTTGGTTCCACGTCGTTTAATGCTTCTCTCGAGCCGTCAAAGTTGTGTGAGATGTAGCCTTCGTGCGTCTCTAACTCTAACAGCGGCTGAAAAGCCAGACCTCCCATCTCTGCCGCTACCTACGGATTTTATTCGACCAGCCGCTCTTGTGTAAACCTGCACATGCTTCCCCGTGGGGGATAAACGTTTCCCCCACACCTGCCTCTCCATCTAACAGACCCTGGAGGGTACACGTCGTCGGCAACACTCGCCCCTCCCCAGCTCCGCAACTCCAGGTCACAAGACTGAGAAGGGCCATTTCCTCATCTGAGCCTTGTCACAAACACTCTGAAACTGGTCTTCAAACCAACAACACCAAACCCTTCGGCCCTCAATGTACTTGGGTGACTGAGTATAAAGGAATCTGCAAGGACGTCACTCTGTGGAGTTAGCAATATCAAAAAGAGAATTATGGGATCCAAGCGTTTTATTCTACCAAAAACTTAGCGTGGGTCCAAACAAGCTCAACAATATGGGACTCCCTTTAGAAAGGATTTTGTCAAAAGAACATAACCCTGAGCAAGAGAACTTTGTGGAAGAGAAAGAAAAGTCATATTTAACTTGGTGTTTGCCCACTTCCTTTTTTTTTTTTTTATGTATAGTTTTGTGTGTGTGTGCTAAACTAAATCCTCTGCCAAGCCATTGGTTCCATGCCAAAAAGTCCTTTGGGGAAATAATACCAGGGCATTTTAGGATTAGCCCATTCTTTCATTCCACAAGGATCTGTTCAGTGGCATTTCTGCCGGGTGCTGGGGATACACAGCGATCTTGACACGGACTCAGCCCTCAAACTGTGGGCGGCTCTGGGCAACAGAGTAAACAGGCAATGACCGCGAGCTGTGACACTGAACTGTGGCAGTGCTCGAAGAGGGGACCCACAGGGGAGGAGACACAGCCAAGAACAAGACTTGGGGGGCGGCAGGGGGTAGGGCCAAGAGGTTGGGGGAAAAGTATCTTCTAAGCCATGAACTGGAGGCTTAACAGAAACCAGCAGGGCACAGGGGTGCGGGCGTGGGAGGGAGAGTTCTAGCAAGAGGAAGTTAACATGTGACGTGTGTTCCCAAGGGGACGGGCAGAGTGTAACTTCTCACCATCTGGATTGTGAAGGGCTCAGGATGGCCCTTCCTAAACTGTGCACAGCAGTAACTAAATATCTTTTCTGTGACTCAAGTTCACTTCCAGTGCCCTGGTTTACATCCTCCCAGGGCAGGCTGGCCAACAGATCATAACTTCACTGCCACTTGAGGCCTCATTTCCTGTTTCAGACAGTGGCTGTTTTCCACACCTCTAAACGCTGATTAAAAAAAAAAAAAAAAAAAGCATCTAAAAAACACAAGGCCACTCCCCTACAAATTCTTCATGCTGATTCTTAACAGTTGAAAGCTCCAAATACTTCGTTAGTGATTTTGCTAACGGAGGAGATCTAACTCACTTTACACTTCCTGTATGCTGGCTCACCTCACCCCCCACATCCAAACCACAAGTCTGACTCTTAATAAGGCCATAAATCTTGGAATCTAGCCTAGGACATAATCCCAAACACGGGACAGCTCTATACACACGGTTAAATTAATGACGGCATTTGCCGGTAACAGCGGAAAAACCATAAAACAAACAAACAGAAAACCTTAAACGTACCCAAATGAGTGAACGGTTAGATAATGACGGTATATCCATTTCTGGAATTTCTGTTAATATTAACAAAGATGAAAACTTCTAGCAACCTGGAAAATGCCAGTGAAAGACGTTAGGTGGAAAAATAAAATATACAGAACTACACACACTATGATGACAACCTTGCAAGAAATAGAACTACAAAAAATGCTGGAAAGGAATTTGCTGAAATGAGACTAATAGGGGAATTAGTGTGCGGTGATTATGAGCTTTTTCCTATTTTCTATGTTTCCTACATTGCGTTTGTAATGCCTTTATAATTTAAATCTAATTAAAAGTATTAATTCCTTGGGGCATCGGAGTGGCTCAGTTGGTTGAGTGTCCTACTTCAGCTCAGGTCATGATCTCACAGCTTGTGGGTTCGAGCCCCGCGTCAGGCTCTGTGCTGACAGCTCAGAGCCTGGAGCCTGCTTCGGATTCTGTCTCCCTCTCTCTGCCCCTCCCCCAGTCGCGCTCTGTCTCAGTCTCTCAAAATTGAATAAATGTTAAAAAAAAAAAAACGGTATTAGGGGCACCTGAGTGGCTCAGTCGGTTAAGCGTCCGACTTCAGCTCAGGTCATGATCTCATAGTTCACGGGTTCAAGTCCCGCATGGGGCTCTGTGCTGACAGCTCAGAGCCTGGAGCCTGCTTTGGATTCTGTGTCTCCCTCTCTCTCTGCCCCTCCCCTGCTCACATTCTATCTCTCTCTTTCTCTCAAAAATAAATAAATATCAAAAAAAAATTTTTTTTTAAAGCATTAATTCCTTTAAGTTAGCAACCGGAACATTTCCAAATCCAAGCGGCACGTACGAGGGAGCATGAGGTAAGGGTATTTGTACGTGAATCTTCCATTGCAACAGAACCAGTTCCCGCAGTGGAAGAGCATGCAGGTACCATTTCAATGTACTGACGAACTATAGCTTATTTGGCAAAACGTTCTGGGTAATGAGGAGCACTGGCCTGAGAGTCTGACAGACAGACATCTGAGAATGTCGAGTGCATACAGTGATAAAAGTTGGGAGTCGAACAACAGATGTTAAGTTCTTTAAATCAAGTTGGGCAGCTTCACGAGTCTTTAGGGTTCTCAGTGAAACAGTGATTTTTTTTTTTCAACAGTAAGCTTAACAAGACCGGGGTCTCTGATTCTAATACTGCTCTGACTTCTTGGACCCTGATGTGTGCTCAGTTTGGAGATGGAGTGATTGATTTCCTGCGGGTCAAGGGACACGTAGATGTTCCAGGGTGATGTGATGTTGACCCACGGGAGGGAGGTGACTTGGCCCTTGGAGGGAAGACAGAGCCAGGAGAATGCTCCTCTTCCCCAACACTTACAAAAGCTTAACTCGAAAACAGCCAATGGTTCCCTATCCCTCTCTGAGCAGGGAAGACGACCAAATCTGTTTTAGCGGCCGCGAGACTTATTTGTGTTATATTACAGCGAACTCCTTCAAGTACAAACAGCTAATGGCAGTTGTGGAATTTCCTTTTCTAGAGACGTGCAACAGGAGGTCAGATATACATCTGGCCTTGAATGCCTGAGGCGTGGTGTACAAAGAAACAGAACGAACGAAAATAGCACTCACACACAAAAATACCATGGTGCGCCATCCCTCTCTCAGACACTCTGAGATACCGATTTAAAACCCGTTTATAAATGGGTGACAGGCATCTGGGGCGCCTGGGTGGCTCAGTCGGTTGAGCGTCCGACTTCGGCTCAGGTCATGATCTCGCGGTTCGTGAGTTCAAGCCCCGCGTCGGGCTCTGTGCTGACAGCTGGGGGCCCGGAGCCTGTTTCGGATTCTGTGTCTCCCTCTCTCTGACCCTCCCCCGTTCATGCTCTGTCGCTCTCTGTCTCAAAAATAAATAAACGTTAAAAAAAATTTTTTTAAAAAACAAAAAAACAAATGGGTGACGGGCATCGAGGAGGGCACTCATTACGATGAGCACTGGGTGTCGCATATAAGCGACAAACCACGGGAATCTCGTCCCGAAGCCAAGAGCACACTGTACATGCTGTGTGTTAGCTAACGTGACAATAAACTGTGTTAAAAACTAAAATAAAACCCGTTTACATATTCCCCCACCCATCAGCTGAATCGGAGACTGAACCACATCAGCCCCGGAAGAAGTTCAGAACGTTGGCCAAGAGCCACTTACCTGTACTAAGAGTTCCAGCTTCCTGTCATCCAGAAGATGTACTTGACATCGACGGCCCTCCGTCATCTACGAAGAAAGACAAACGATGGTCACTGAGAGTCTAACAGCCTGACAGATGGTTAACAGGCGCCCTATGCTGGACCACACCAGGCACAGCGCTCTGGGCCAATCTTGCAGAAGTGGCAGGAGGGGTTCCTTCCTTCCTTCCCTCCTTCCTTTAAAATCACTCAGGGAGCACTTTCTATGTGCCAGGCACTATCCTGGGAGCTGGGTGTCCAAGAGCACCCAAGACAAGGTCCCTGCCCTCATGGAGCTTACGTTCTTAGGGGGGAGATATAAAATAAATTAGCAAATACATTCATAACCTGATACCAGGTGGTGAGAAGTGTTCCGCGCTTTAATCATTCTTCCGTTCAGTAATTGTTATCACCACGCATCAGGGGCAGATTTCAGTATCCCGTCTCTGCCACCTCTCCTGTCCCCCCGACAGTCCCCCTTACCGAGCACATGGGAGCAGAGGACCACCCCGCGCGCAACTGCCTTTGAGGTCTGTGAAGCTTCTTTCTCCACAGGATAATCGTTTAGTACCCTAGTCCCTACACTGCTTTCACCTGTGATAGAAGAACGTGGGAGGTTAAATGCTCACAGCTAAGCCTGACCCCCGACCCTTGTGCCTTTCACAACTATCACCACCGGCCCTGTAACAGAAAGAGCATCCAGGCAAGCAAGAGGAGACCCGTGCCGGGTCCTGGCCCCCCGGGTCCATTCGTCTCTGCAGCCCCGTCTCCTATACAAAAGCGACTGGGCTGGTACCAACGGAGTGCCACCAGAGCTTTAATAACTGGCTTTCTGGAAGGAAGAAGCCTTAATTTGTAGCATCTGCTAGAGCCCTGGCATCCCTCTCAAAGGAAATCCTTTGAAGACTGAGGCTCCTTCTAGATGTCAGCGGGCCACCGCTCTAACCAAAACTTATCTCTCTGCACTCCAGATATCTTCACGGTGTCTGATCTCCAGTTACTGTCCACACAACAACATGGATGGTATTTCCCACACACGCAATAGACTTAAATAATTCCAGGAGCACGGATGGTAGTGAAGTCTGGTCAAATAACAGGAAATTTCCCATCCATTAGCGACGGGCTTTGAGTATTTATTACCTTTGTTTTTAATATAACATACTTGACTCTAAATTTATATACTTTAATGTCAATAATGGCGATGTTTTACCCCTGGCATGCAGAATTCCTGGAAATGTACCTACTGGCTGTTACAATGGGTAAGAGCAAGTTCCAACACCGCTGTCTGGACCAGAAGACCCAGAAGGGTCCTTCCAAGCCCTCGTATTTGTATATGACTCCGCAGCCCCCGCTGAAGCCACCTTCTTTTTTGCCCAGCGAGCAGCTGCTTCATGCAGACCCAAGGGCAGGCCTGGCCTTATCTCCCTGCACAGCTATCGTGGTCCCTTCTCAGGAGTGCTTTCTCCAGGAAAGATGGGAGAGATAGAATCTTCTGGTTCAACAGGGATTATTCTCTAACCATCAGCATGTCCCAAACTGGTTTGTACTCCCATGAGAAGAGTCTCCTTCGCCAGAGGGAGGGTGACTTCCTCACCCACCAAGCTACCATCAAGTCAGATTTCCTTAGTTATGGGATCTTAACCAAAACAACAGGCTCTGCCTGCATGGGGCCCAAATAAAGTCTCTTGAATGGGAGTTACAGTAGTGACTCAGCAGTCCCCAGCTCTTAGAAAAATCATCACGAGAAATTTCACACGCCCATAAGCACTCCAACAGAGGTTAAAGGACGGTACAAATGGAGGAGAACTTCAGTCCAGAGGTTTGTCATTTTGCACATAAAAGCCAAAGCAGGCAGCTATGGGCATGAGGTGGCTCTGTGAAAAGTCCTTATTCGTTCTTGGAACTCTTAATGTTAGGTGTTAATCGCCTTAAAAGGAGAATGGGCTCCAATCCCAGTAGAAACCACTAACTGCACACAGTAGGCATCCCAGCTGCCTGACTTCATTTTAAAAAACCCATTAGCTTCAAAAAATAGACAAATGGGACTACATCATAATAAAAAGCCTTTGCCCGGCAAAGGAAACCATCAACCACATGAAAAGTCAACCTGCTGAATGGAAGACAATTACTTGCCAGTCACATATCTGGCAAGGTGTTAATATATAAAGAACTCTTTGGACTCAGCAGCAAAACTGCAAACAATCCTATTAGAAAATGGGCAGACGGTCTGAAGGGGCATTTTTCCAAAGAAGACCTACACATGGCCAGCAGACACATGGTAAGATGCCCAACATCACTCATCGTCAGGGAAATACAAATCACAACCACAGTGAGATACCCCTCACACCTGTTAGAGTGACTAGTATCAAAAAGACAAGAAACAACAAGTGTTGATGACGATGTAGAGAAGAGGGAACCTTCGTGGATGGCTGGTGGGAACGCAGGCTGGTGCAGCCCCTGTGGAAAACGGTACGGAGGTTCCTCAAAAAATTAAAAATAGAACTACCCCACGATACAGTCATCCCACTTCTGGGTATTTATCCAGAGAAGATGAGAACACGAATTCGAGAAGATAAATGTATCCCCCTTTTCCCCGCATCATTATTTACAGCAGAGAAGGCACAGAAGCAACCTACGTGTCCACTGGTGGATAAATGGATAAAGAACACGTGGTACGTATATTCAGCAGAGTATCGTTCAGCTAGAAGAAAGAAGGAAATCTTGCCATTTGTGACAATACGGATGGACATTGAGGGCATCAGGCTAAGTGAAATAAGTCAGAGAAAGACAAATGACCTCACTTATATTTGGAATTTACACAAACAAACAAAAAAAGAAACAAATTCATGAACACAGAGAACCTACTGGTAGTTGTAGAGCTGGGGGCGAGGGGTGTCAGGAGGTTGGGGGGAATTGGTGAAGTGGGTCCAAACGTCAAAGGTACAAAGTCCCAGCAATTCAGTTCTTAATAGAAAGAACCCAAGGTTAACACAGAGGTGGTTCAAGGAAGAAAAAGTGCACAACCATCCAGCACATTATTTTGAAATTCCTTTAAAGACATTATAGGCTTCAGAAAATTCTCTGAAGGGTGGGGGACACAGAAGAATTTTTATAAAGGAAACCTGCCTGTCCCTATAGAACCTTCAGAACACAGTGTGTTTTTAATGGTTATTTATTTTTCAGAGAGAGAAAGAGAGCAGGGGAGGGGCAGAGGGTTAGGGAGACAGAGAATCCCAAGCAGGCCCCTTGCTGTCAACACCGAGCCCGATGTGGGGGCTCGAACTCATAAACAGTGAGATCATGACTTGAGCTGAAACCAAGAGTCAGATGCTCAGCCAACTGAGCTAGCCAGGTGTCCCTAAAACACAACGTTTGGAGCTTTGTTTTATCATAAAAGCTAAGGACATAAACACGTTCTTGACTTACTTATCCACATTTCAACAAAACTGATACAAACAAAGGGAAATTGGAATCGCCAAGATATCAAATAAAGGTGTGTTTTTTTTGTTTGTTTTCTTTCTTGTTTTTTAGAGAGAGAGAGAAAGCACAAGCATGGGAGAGGTGCAAAGGGAAAGGGAGGGGGAGAATCTTCAGTAGGCTCCACGCACAGCACGGAGCCCCACGAGGGGCTTGATCCCACAACCCTGGGATCGTGACCTGAAAAGAAATCAAGACTCAGATGCTCACCTGACTGAGCCACCCAGGCTCCCCTCAAATGAAGGTTTAATTGCAACACCAAAGAGGCCGTATATCATTTTCTCAGAATTATTTCGAAGCACGCAAAGCGTGACGTGACACTGAGCTCACACCCGCACATAAAAGTTTTACTGTGCGGCTTTCATTTTCATCTGAAAGATAAAATCCTCATTCCGCTAAAGAATCTCCCCTTATGTGCTCAGCAGTTGAAGGAATTAACTACCCCTGGAGAGGTGACGCTCTACTGAGTTTTTCCAAATTCATTCTTCTCTTCCAAAGAGCCTCCATTTTCAGGCCTGGGGAATTTATGACCAAGCACCCTGTGTTACCAGGGAATTTACACGCTGCCTCCCTTTGGGAAGGCAAAATGTCCCTGGGCGGTAGGGGCAGGAGGGGGAAACGCAGCCCAGAGAACTGAGTCCAAACAGAAACCCAACTTTGAATCATCATGGTTTCATTTTGAAAGTATGCCTGTCTTTTGATGGCACTGATGGGGCTTTTTTTTTTTTTTTTTTTTTCCTCAAAAGGGGGACGGTTTGTTGTTACGGACTGAAGGAAGACAGGCCCGTCCTGCTCCCCTCAGTTCAGAAAAGGTTCACCATCCTGGACGTGTGCGAGAAAGAGTGGACATCTGCAGCTTTGTCTGCCTTGCCAGGCCTACTCAAGTTTTCTTTTGAAACTGAACAATTGTAAAATAATAGTGCTTTGCTTGTTTTCATTTTCAGCTGCTCAGACACAATTGGGAGCCTTGGCGTCCCTCTCAGAGGAAATCCTTTCGGAGAACACGGCTTCTTGTAGATGTCAGCTGGCCGCTACCCCAACATAAATCGTCTTGCCACAAATACAATTCTACACCAAGCAGAGGCCTGCCAAATGCACCGTGATGCTCAAGGATATATAGAAAAGCGTGACTTTGGAAGCCGGGGTCCACGCTGTTGATCCAACTCTGCGGTTAAGACACACACGGAATCAGGAAGACTGTGCATAAACAGAGACGTGCATTTACGACGCCGGCTTAGGTGAGCAGAGCCGAAAATGAAACAGTATGTGTAGTTTAAAGGCAGCCTATAAAATCATCGCGCGTGTGGACAGGAATCGGGAGGCCAACATAAAAATAGTTGGTGTGCTAGGGTAATAGGCTTACGGGCAGTTTCCTCCCAAACCATCCAAATATGACTGACTTTTTTTTTTTTTTTTTCAGTTAAAACAAATGTAAAAACAAGAAACTTTATCTAGAAAAACAAAATCACGGTGTTTGAGGTCAGCCAGAGGAAATGGATCCTGAGAAGCTTCTTTCTCAACGAATCGGTTTTAGATTGCCTGTGTTTTTTAACGTATCGAATCACATGAGTT